ATGCTGCTGGGAGGGCTGTATTAAACTGAACCTGTTGCCAAACTAGGAAAGCACAGACTCATTTTAAGCTTTAATGATCATTATTTGCAATCAGTTTATTTTTTATTCAACAAGAAGAGAAAAATGATAACTGTGTTACAGTGTAGTGAGCCCATTTGGTAAGCAAGCTGTTTCTGCTGTTTTAAAGTTGTCTGCAATCCATTCTGGACAAAAACATTTGGATCCGATGATACTCAACTTATATCAAAGACCCTTATATCTACCCCCCACACGTAAGGTTGTATTCGGCCACCTCAGGCCAATCATTAGAGTAAGCTGATAAACTAATATACAGACTGCGCATTAAAGTCTATACAGTCCACCATTGCAGCCACAATTGGGGTTGAATTTTCCTTCAGGCACAATAGGCCTCTGCCTATAGGCTGCATAGGAGGAGAAACGGTGTTTCCCTATATAGTATTAGCTGCATATTTTTTCCCTAAGATAAGTCATCTTTTATAAGTTTAATTACACATTATTTTAATATCATAAGCTAGGTTAGGAGCAGTAAAAACAAGAAAATGGCCTGTATGAAAGAAGTGATTCTGCTTTGGGCACTAAAGGTTGTGTGCCTCTAGGCTCCAGTGATGGAAATCCAGCCCTGGCACAGTACTGCAGTTAGCTCAGAGAGAAATGGTGTGTACAAGGACACCACGTTGAGCTACTAGAAACAAGTCTTTGGTTTGAGGTCTACTTTTTATTCATTGCAAATGTTGGACAGAGCAGTGAGGGCATTTATTTTTATTTATTTTTTTTTTTTCCAAGAAATTTTATTGAGATATGAAAGGCATAACAAGTCATAAACAAATACGGATCGCAGTCCGCGCAAGTCTTTAAGCATGTTTTCACCCGTAACGCAGACGGGTTCAGGACATAGAAGTAAATCGTAGCTCAACCTGAAATACAGTCCTAAGGGGAAGGCACCGTATATACCCATAGCAATGATGTTAGCAGTAAGTAATTTATAGAAATACGGGGTACAATAGTCCATGTGTAGGGAGATCTAAAGAAACAGGACAGTGAGGTATATAGCAATAGTCGTGTCAACTCAAGGCATATATGTCTTAGGATTCCGTACTTGAACATTATAGATTAGATTGGAGGAGTATTGTTACACCTGTGTGTCTGTAAGTACTCTGTACCTTATGAAAAATATAGTTAGTTAGAATATGGTAAAGAGGTGAAAAAGAGAGAAAGAAGAGATGGGAATGAAATGAGCAAGGGAATGGAGGAAGAGTATGAGAAAAAATATCATAGTGGGGCGAGGAGGGACGTAGGGGACGAATACAGATGAAGAGAGAGAGAGAGAGAGGTAGAGGGAGAGAGAGAGAGAGAGAGAGAGAGGAAAAAAAAAAAAAAGGGGGAAGAGGGGGGGGGGGGGAGGTGAATGGGGGAAGGATGAGGTATATAACTAAATAGGCATAACCAAACCAGTCATATCAGTTAGCAGCTTCCAGGCTGAGACAGATTCAATCATTACTTAGAAATACAATTTCGTTAAAGTCCCGTAATGGAACTATTCCTGAAGTGAACGTTCTAGGGGTTTCCGTGTCACCAAATCTCCTCTCGCTCATTCCTTCATTAGACAATGATAAGTATCGGTAGTTTGGAAATGATTCCAACACGCCCAAGTCTTCCTGAATCTCTCGGGGTGTTCTTTTGCCACTGAAATCAGCTCCTCCATCTCTGCGATCCTGATGATCCTAAGAATCCACTCTCGCACAGGTGGGAACGTATTCCGATCGCCAATGGACCGGAATACACTGTCTTGCCGCATTTATCATGTGTAAAGCAAGCGACCTACGATAAGTCCGCACAGAAAGTGAGGAATGATGAAGTAGACATTGTGCTGGGGTAAAGTCTAGGGTGTATGTAGTTAAGAGGGCATTTATAATTGTTTTTATAAATATAACTTTGCAACCTGACTTCCACCATTAGCCTTCACTTCAAAATAGATTTATATTTTTTTTCTATAGAATCTGTATTTAGTAGCCTCCAGATAAATTGTAGGGCCTTTGTCGACAGGTTTTGACAGATGCAGCAAGCTTTCACATCAACTTGAAATGCTTCAATCATTGCAGGTGCAGTTTACCTGCATTTCAACTTGCTTTTTACATTCCTATAGACTCAAAGAGCTCTGAGTCTACAAAAGCCTGTTGACTTCCATGTTTCAGTTCACTTTAAATAGTTCATTTGTGCCAAGCTGGCCCAAACAAACCACTTTCATTACACACTGATGCGGCCACTGTAGTCTTTTACTTTTATTAATGAAGAAAAGGCTTCCTCTAATTGGCTGAGTTGGAAATCTTGACGTCATCTGCCCACCTCTCTACTATGGCCAGTCAGCGGAAGCCTTGTATTCACTGATAATAGAAGACTTCTACAGAATAGAGGAGGAGCCTTCAGGCCTAAACAAACTATTTACAGTGAAATTAAAGATGGAATTCTGCTATAGGATATCACATTTTACTATGCAAATACAGTGGATATAAAAAGTTAGGTTTCTGTGATGTAAAAAAACGAGACAAAGATAAATCATTTCAGATCGTTTTCTACCTTTAATGTAACCTATAAACTGTACAACTCAGTTGAACAACAAACTGAAATCTTTTAGGTGGAGGTAAGTAAAAATAAGAAAACTAAACTAATATGGTTGCATAAGTGTGCACACCCTAAAATAAATACTTTGTTGAAGCACCTTTTTGATTTGATTCCAGAACTCAGTCTTTTTGGGTATGACACGTCTTGACTTGGCAATATTTGCCCACTCTTCCTTGCAAAAACACTCCAAATCTGTCAGATTGCAAGGGCAATCTCCTGTGCACAGCCTCTTCAGATCACCCCACATATTTTCGATCTGATTAAGATCTGGGCTCTGGCTGGGCCATTCCAAAACTTTTATCTTCTTCTGGTGAAGCCATTCCTTTGTTGATTTGGGTGTATGCTTTGTGTTGTTGACATGCTGAAAGATGAAGTTCCTCATTATGTTCAGCTTTCTAGCAAAAGCCTGAAGATTTTGTGCCAATATTGACTGGTATTTGGAACTGTTCATAATTCCTTCTACCTTGACTAAGGCCCCAGTTCCAGCTGAAAGAAAAACAGCCCCAAAACATGATGCTGCCACCACCATGCTTCACTGTGGGTATGGTGTTCTTTTGGTGATGTGCAGTGTTATTTTTGCGCTAAACATATCTTTTGGAATTATGGCCAAAAAGTTCAACCTTGGTTTCATCAGACCAAATACATTTTCCAACATGCTTTTGGGAGACTTCAGGTGTGTTTTTGCTAAATTTAGGCGGGCTTGGATGTTTTTTCCTTTTTAAGAAAAGGCTTCCGTCTTGCCACGCTACCCCCATAGCCCAGACATATAAAGAATACGGGAGATTGTTGTCACATGTGCCACACAGCCAGTACTTGCCAGGTATTCCTGCAGCTCCTTTAATGTTGCTGTAGGCCTCTTAGCAGCTTCCCAGACCAGTTTTCTTCTCATCTTTTTTGCATCAATTTTGGAGTGACGTCCAGTTCTTTGGTACTGTTGCACCATATTTTCCTCCACTTGAAGATGATGACTGTATTCACTGTAGTGTTCCATGGTATATCTACAGTGCCTTGGAAATTCTTTTGTACCCTTCTCCATAACTGATACCATTTAACAAATGAGATCCCTCTGATGCTTTGGAAGCTTTTTGTGGACCATGGCTTTTGCTGTTAGGATGCGACTAAGAAAATGTCAACAAAGATCTATTAGAACAGCTGAACTTTATTTGGTGTTAATCAGAGGCACTTTAAATGATGGCAGGTGTGCACTGACTTCTATTTACCATGATTTTGATGTGATTGCTTAAATTATGAACACAGATACATCCCCAGTTTTAAGGGGGTGCACACACTTAGGCTCCATGTACACGGACGTTTGGAAAACGCTGCTGAACGAAGAAAACTGACTACTGGAAAACGTAGGTTAAAAAACGTCTGTTTAGTCATGTTTGCATACCGTGTTTATGCGCTTTATGTTTAAAGCGTTTTTTAAAGATAACCTCAGGATACCTTCCAAAATGCCCAGAATTGCACTGAAAAACAGTAAAAAATTAACTATTTCAGACATTGCATGAGAGAAATAGAGAGAGCAGAAGAAGCAGAAGAAGTATGTGTTGGGATTATATCTTTTCTGGTTTTGTATTCACTATGGATCCCATCATGGAGCATAATGCGGAGTACATGGGAGTTCTACCACCGGAAGATTATACCATTTTTTTTTCCTTCATGTGCAAAACCTGGAACTGACTGCACACCTGGTGTGCTAGGTCCATTTGACTACATGGAAAACACTTTGGCATGCATTTCTGATGATGAAAAAAGGCTCGGGACAGCATCTGGATAATGGAACAGTTAAAAAAAAACACTTCTAAACGCAAACGCTTATCAAACACGGATAGTCGCATTTACAAGCGTTTGGGAGCTATTGTTTGATACGCTGATAAAATCTACTCCTGAACGCAGTTTTGGTGTGTTAAAAAAAAAAGGACTGTAAAAAACACAACTGCCTGTAAACGACTGTAAAGGAAGATGCGTACATGGACACATAGGAAAACATTAGGGAGAGTTCAGAGGCTGCTGAAAAAAACGCAGAAAAGCTCCTGAACGTCAGTTTATCAGCTGCAGTATAACATGAAGCCTTATGCAACCACACTATTTTAGTTTTTTTATGTTTTACTTTCCCCTAAAAAGATTTCAGTTTCTTTTTCAATTGAGTTGTACAGCTTATAAGTTACATTAAAGGTGGCAAAAGTTCTGAAATGATTTATCTTTGTCTCATTTTTTTACATCACAGAAACCTGACATTTTACCAGGGGTGTGTGTAGACATTTTATATCCACTGAAAATGTTTCCAGTCTTTTTTGTAGTTTTGAAATACGTGTTCACTTTTCGCTTCACACATTGTTTACTTTTTTTTTTTCAAGTGGTGGAAGCGTTTTTCTTAAACCATGATAAGGAGCAGTATCTTGAAGTTGAACTTGGCCCGTAAGTATAGATTTCGTGAGTGTGTGTGTATATACATATATGTGTGTGTGTATACACACAAATATAATTTATATATACAGTATAATAAAGTAAGCACTGTTTAACCTCATTATCACAATGGTTGTGAATTAGGGAGCACACCGTATACTGTACAATGGGAAAAGTAGTTTGATCCTTAGACAAATGTCTACCTTTTATTTGCCACTACCTTTCTAACTTGTATGTCATAGCACACTGTCTGCATTCAGGGCTACACTCCTGCACCCACATGGATGTCCAATTGGGAATAACAGCTGTGTTCCAATTAATATGAATGGGACTGACTGCACACTAATGCACAGAACACCTGTGCACCCCATGAGGGAAAACACTTTAGTACACCCCTGTGAACAAGGCTTAAAGTGGACGTAAACCCACTTTTGTATCTTTTACCTGCAGGTAAATCTTGAATAAGGCTTACCTGCAGGTACTGAAAATATCTCCTAAACGTGCACCGTTCAGGAGATATTTACAGTAGAAGCACCTGTGACATCGCTGGCACATGTGCACTGCGCCCTCAATGGATAGCATGCCATCCATTGAGAGAGTCATGCCGCGAGTGATGACATTGCTGCTTGGCCAATCAGATGGCCGTAGCTCTCAAACCCAGTAGAAAGACCAGGTGAAGATGGAAGCCTCGAGGAGCTGTGACAAAAAAATTTCAAATTTTTTGGGGCAGTTTACTATCTCTTTACAGAAGAAGTATGGGTATATACAAAAAAAACAAAACATATATACTCACCTCATGCTGCATCATTAATCTGATGCTGCAGCTGTCTCTCGCCAGCTCTAAGACCGAGATATGAGCGATCACATGACTGCTGGTCACTCAGTTCTCAGTTTGTTTTCAGATAAGTCTTTCATAATGTGCTAGTGTGCGATTCATACCAGCACATTATGCTCTTAACTTTCAGGGAGAAGTTTTTTTAGAATTTTTTTAGGGCAGTTTACTACTGTTTTAAAGAAGAAGTATGGGTATATAAAAAAAAACACATATATATATACTCACCTCCATGCTGCAGCTGTCCCTCGCCAACTCTAAGACTGAGAAATGAGCGATCACATGACTGCTGGTCACTCAGTTCTCAGTCAGATCATAGCAGAGAGTAGTGACTGTCAGTGACTGCTGTCTGCTCTGGCCTCCAGTGCTCACTAGAGCACCAGGCTGATGAAGGGGCAGACGCAGCTGATTGGCTCTCAGTTGCATTCTGAGAGCCAGAACCAACAGTCAATTAGGCAGCTTTGTGGATCCTGCAAAAGAACACACACAATTCCAGCAGCACCTCACCAAAAGGATATGGGGAATCCCTCATGGACATGCAAAAGAACAAAGCAGGGTGCCAGGTGAGTGTGAGATAAAAACAGCAACACTTTATTGAAGCACACTTACATGGAAGAAACCAGTAAACAGCTCTGGTGGTCGGGATGGTGTATTTGTGCAGCCCATCCTGTGTGGAGGAGACTCAGCAGATGTACGGCTTTTTATAGTGTACATAATTCCCTAAGATCCCGTTCTATCATTATACTGTTTCCCCTCCCAGCCCTCTCAGCGGTCCCAAACTGTCCGGCCAGCCCAACCCATGGTCCTTCTCCTGATTGGCTCCTTTGGTCAGGTGTATAGCCTATACATTTTCTTCCTTTTCCCTGGGTGAGCCAGCTTGATAAAGGAGGAATGGCTTCAGAAACACGCTGCAGCCCACCCATATGTCATTCACTGGTGCCTGTCAAACTTGTGTTGGTTGGTGGGAGCGAGAGGGGAGAGGCGCCGCTGGCATCCATCCATGAGCGGACCCCTGCCTGTACCTTGCAGCTGATGACAGTCTATCCACACTGGAGAGAGCTGTACCTGCACACCATCCCGACCACCAGAGCTGTTTACAGGTTTCTTCCATGTAAGTGTGCTACAATAAAGTGTTGCTGTTTTTATCTCACACTCACCTGGCGCCCTGCTTTGTTCTTTTGCATGTCCATGAAGGATTCCCCATATCCATTGGCGAGGTGCTTCCGGAATCGTATGTGTTCCACCCCCACTGTGTTTCAGCTGCCCCACTCTTTGAAGAGGAGTTCACTATAGACTGACATGAATATGACACTGCTTATTTATCTTTGTTTCCATTGCAGTCAATGAGTGCTGAATTTGCTGGCTTGTTTTTGTTACAAGTGGCTCTTTATTTAGCTTTGTGGGTCCTGCCTGTAAAAGCGATCTAGTGGCTAATTAGTCGCTAGAATCACTTTTAGCTGCTAGGATCACTTTTACAAAAAAGAGAGCATTGCCGGCCAAAAAAACCCCATCATCCCTCTATAACCCACTGCAAATCAAGGACGTACAGGAACGTCCTTGAGCAGCAAGTGGTTAAGAAGAATCCTTAATACAGTACAAAACAGTACAAATATTCATAATAAAAAGTCAACAGCCCTTATCCGCGTGTTTGTTCCATGTCAGTAATTCAAAGTATTGACGTAAGTCAACGAGTCAGCCAGGCAACTATCATTTTCGAGAGAACAATCAGCAATGGCATCTACATATTTCTTTCATGACATGTTTCCTTTAATCTGTGGAAGAAAAGTCTACTAATTCATATGATTTTTGCATGACACAAATATAAGAAGCCTTGACATTGTTTAGCCTGCTTTGCTTTTTCTTTGTTGCAACAAAAAGCAAAGCAAGGATTATTCCCCTCTGCAAAGAAGTCTCATTTTAGGAAACATAAACCACACACTGTTTTTTTTTTGTTGTCTGATATTAAAAACAGAAGGTGGCAATGGGCAAGTTGCTGTTTTATCTGAATGTGTTATAATCTTATGATGAGTAACAGTGTAGCAATGGCTGAGTGTAATGCAGTTGTGCAGGTGCCGCTGTGTACGCAGTGTGAAAACAATCATACCTGCTCTACGTGCCTCTCTTTCCAGCCGTAGAGTTTAGATACTTACACAAAAAAATGACTTGAGTACATATGCTGTGATTTTTTATTTTTGCAGACACAGGCACCATTTGGTGTTACTTCTCACGCAACGCAGGCATATTTGGAAGGTAAGTGAGGGTAATGGTTTACTGAAGATTCAAATCCTGCTGAGCAGCCTGAAACACGAGTCATAAACATTTAAAACGACTGAAAATCAGATCGTCAATTCGCCACTGCAGAAACTAAAATGAGCTACCTGGAGTATCGTCCTCCTTCCCTTTCCCCTGTTCTTTCATTTCCAGACTTTCTCTGCCAAGCAGCCATTTAATAAAATGAAATTTCTAATTAAAGCTGGCATGTTCTGCACAACACAGTTGTCAGCTATAAAACAGGAGGGCGGGCGAAGATTAGGCATAATACAGTTTAGAAACCTTCAGCATCATCCTTTCTTCTTTACTCCATGAGTAATTAGTGGTGATTTGCCAAATTTAGAACGTTCGTGCACTCCACGGCTCTTGGCTTCATCACAGAATGATTATACCTAATTGATAATTTGAACAGAGTGCTTAGTGCGTCTGTATAACCCCATATGTAATAAGAACCTTACATTGGTTGAAAGTTAATTGAAACTTGTAGCACTATCCACAAAGAAAACACAATTTCTTTAAAATACATACTTGTCCTTGCTCATTGCCATTGTAGGCAAGTGATTATTATTGATTAATTATGTGTTGTTTTTTTTTGTCTGAAGCAAAAGTATGATTTACTATAGTGTTTCAACTTTGCCTATATCTCTTTAATCTAGTGTTTTTAAATATTTTACAGTCGAAAATGTCTTTATTTTTATGCTCTGTCATAGAATTCAGTATCTGAGTCTAACACTTTTCCTACTGCATCTGGACTTTTGGACTTTGTGATACCTTAGGCAAAATCATTGTGGTCTGTGCCACATTTCATTTTTTGCCGACAGGTGAAATTTGATATTACAACATAACTGTAGGGCCCATTCACTTGGGCATTCAGCCTGTCCGCTTATCAGATCAAGACTGAACCACAATGTAAGTCTATGAGTACATGGATGTAGACAGACGTATACGTACAGATGCATGAAAAAAAAAAAGCAGAAACATTTTTTTTTGCTTTTTTTTCTAGACCTAAGCCAAGATCATCCGTTTATGTCCAGTCCATTTTTCATCCATTTTTATGCAAGAAACATTTTTTTGTTTTTACTTTTGTCCTCCTATGACTATTTTCTTTTGGCAACTAAAAAAACTAAAACATGCATGTAAACTGAACTGGACCAAAGATGGATATTGTGACGGAATGCCTGGCACCCAGCTTGTGCCTTCCGTCAGAGAACCACTTCCTCGCCACTGGGACACAGGGCCAAGGTATTGTAGCCGGGCATTGCACCCAAGACTAGACAAGACTAGCTTAGATGCCAAACTGGAACTATTTTATTGGGGAGGTTATCTCTTCTCTCTTGTAAGGATGGTCAGTGTTAGACTGGCAAGGATTATGTAAAGCAGCAAAGCCTGATTTTTTTGGAGTGCATCCCCTTGTTTTCTCTATCTGACTACTGCTATCGAAATTACGAGAAATTGATATGATGCTCCCTGTGCCTGTGTGGGTATCCTCCAGGTACTCCAGTTTCCTCCCACACTCCAAAGACATGCTGGTAAGTTCATTGGCTCCTATCTACGTTGGCCCTAGTACATGTATGTATGAATGAGAGTTAGGGACCTTAGACTCTAAGCTCTTTGAGGATCAGGGACTGATGTGAATGTACAATATATATGTAAAGCATTGCATAAATTGATGGCTCTATATAAGTACCTGTAATAAATAATGAATAAGATGTATCCAGATAAGTATAGTAGCTAAATGTAAATATAGATTTAGTGATTTTTAATGAACTAATAACTTGATTTGATTTTGTTTTTAAAATATTTGCCTAGTGTTGTGTTTTAAGGAAGATATGCCAATTTTCCCCTCATTGCAGCAGTATTGAATTTCTGGTGCAGTGTATTCTATTTTGGAAATGCAGACAACTTCATAAAGAATATTCCATTTCCATGTTTGGAGCCAGTGCGTACTGTATGGAGTCTATTTTTTTTTCTTTTACTTTGCTTTGTGAATATCAAATTTGCGCAAATATAACGAATAATACTCAAAATAATGTGTGTAATGTCAGTTTCTATTCCCTAACCCTCTACCATATGAGAAAAATAGCCATTATAGTATAACTAAAGGCAAAACTTTTTTATTAGTTTTGAATAGAGTAGAGGTGGATTAGAACACCTCTGAAGTTTTTATTGCTGTCGGTGCCCCTTTTAGGGAGATCCACCTTCTCTATGGGTCCAGTTTACCATTATCATTGAAAGTGAAAGTAAAGGAAACTCCCAAATTTTGGATTGTCCCCAGAAAAATAATAGGGAGAAATTTTCCAATGGGGACATTGGGGTCCCCAAGGAATCCCCTTAATTTTTAGGGATTTTCACTCACTTCCTGTTTTGGCTATGGGACAGGAAGAGACAATAAATATCCTCAATAGGACACAGATGGCAAAATATAAACTAACAGGGGTTATAGCCCTCCCTTACTATATCTAAAATGAAATAAATTGCCTATTATTCTACTTTAAGAACATTTGAATTAAAGAATGAAAGAACATTCACCAATAGAGAAATTAGCCTAACACTAAAGCCTAAGAACTATCAAGCAGCAGGGGAAGACCTCAGCACTGTAATGTTTATGTCTATTGAGATTCCTATGCAAATGGCTGAACAAATGGATGTTCGGCTGAGCAAATCTCCATCTGCAGTGTGAAGTGAAACATTAAGCAGTGATATTACTATTATTACTGGTTGTTAGGGAGCTGGCATCCCCTGACATCCTAACATCCATTGACTCATCCCTGCCTGGCACATTCACCTGTCAGCCAGGTATTTCCCCAACTAACAGATGAATTTAGGCAAATGGATAGTGTAAAAATAATGTGGGGTCCCCCCAAATTCATACCAGGCTCTTCAGATTTGGAGTGTATTTTAAGGGGGACCCCAAGCAAAAAAAGAATTGTGTGAGGTCCCCCAAATTTTATACCAGACCCATGCAAAGAAAAAAACCAGGCCACATGCCCTCAATATGGAGAAGGGGGTACACTGCCAGGGTATGTTTATGAAGACAAGAGCCTCTTCTTCACATTCCAAGCTAACAAGTGAAAGTGCTGTTCGTGGGTGAGGTACTGGTTGTTAGGATGCTGGCTCCATAACAATCAGGAGACAGAACAGCGGGAAGCTGTCACATTAAGCTCTCATGCACACTTGACGTTTTGATAACGCTGGTAACGTTAGCTGTGTAAACTCACAATAAAAACGTGAGTTTTTCAGCTTTTTTTGCATTAGAGTTTAGTGGCGTTTTGCCGTGTTTTTTTAGCATTTTTTTTTACCGAAAAAAAATTTTTTTTTGGTAAAAAAGAAAAAAAAGTCCAAAAACGCCGGTTTGCGGCAGTTTACCACGTTTTTTTAGGGCATTTTTACAGCTAAAAAACTCCTCTAGAAACCAACTAGTTCTGAGGGTTTTTTCCAGCCAAAAAACATCCCAGCCAAAAAAACGTTGATTACAGTCTATGTGTGCATGGACACATAGGATAACATGCTGGGGGGTTTACAAGCTGTTACAAACAATATGGGTATTATTTGTCATGTTTGCGTGAATAATGAGACCTTCACAAAGCACATTTTTTAAAAACACACATATATATAAGTCTATGTATTGATTTTCCACCCACTGAAGCAGTAAGTGGTGTATGTATTGCTTTTCTACTCATTGACATCGGTACCCCTGGCCCACTTTTATTAGCATGGACTTCCTGTTTATAACATATCTGTGGCTTACACCCTGTGTCCTGTGTTTTCAATTGTATTCATATGGCTGCAGGCCAGTGAATTAGAAGAGTGATGGATTTTGAAAGCTGAGAACAGAAATAGTGAATTTTTAGAAAAGCTATGAAATAATGTGAGCAAACTCACTTAAGTCAGAGCTGATGAAATCAAGCAGAATTGACAATGTAAATTAAAACCATTGATCACTTAGGGCATTAGAAGAGAAGTATTGCAATTTCTTATTTACTCTCTTTTATAGTGAAGTTTATTTTCTTTTACATTTAAAGTTCAGATTTCTCCATTTTCGACAATATGACAATACTAAACATGTAAAACAAAAACAACAAAAAGTTTGAAAACAGGTTCACCCCTGTGAATTTGTTTGTGGTTCTAAAATAGTAAGGTGTGTCATATTTTCTTGTGTTATAGTGAGGAACAGAAGTATCTGAACACCCTGCGATTTTGCAAGTTCTCCCACTTAGAAATTATGGAGGGGTCTGAAATTTACATTGTAGGTGCATTCCCACTCTGAGAAACAGAATTTAAAAAAAAAATTCAGGAAATCACATTATATGATTTTTAAAGAATTTATTTGCCTTGCACTGCTGAACATAAGTATTTGAACACCTGAGAAAATCAGTGTTAATATTTGGTACAGAAGCCTTTGTTTGCAATTACAGAGGTCAAACGTTTCCTGTAGTTCTTGACCAGGTTTGCACACACTGCAACAGGGATTTTGGCCCACTCCTCCACACAGATCTCCTCTAGATCTGTCAGGTTTCGGGGCTGTCACTGAGCAACACAGAGTTTCAGCTCCCTCCAAAGATGTTCTATTGGATTTAGGTCTGGAGACTGGCTAGGCCACTCCAGAACCTTGATATGCTTCTTATGGAGCCACTCCTTGGTTATCCTGGCTGTGTGCTTCGGGTCGTTGTCATGTTGGAAGACCCAGCCACGACCCATCTTTAATGCTCTGACTGAGGGAAGGAGGTTGTTGCTCAAAATCTCACAATAAATGGCCCCATTCATCCTCTCCTTAATACAGTGCAGTCGTCCTGTCCCCTTCGCAGAAAAGCACCCCCAAAGTATGATGTTACCACCCCCATGCTTCACAGTAGGGATGGTGTTCTTGGGATGCAACTCATCCTTCTTTTTCCTCCAAACACGACGAGTGAAGTTTAGACCAAAAAGTTCTACTTTGGTCTCATCTGACCACATGACTTTCTCCCATGCCTCCTCTGGAT